TTTTTATATAATAATATATTACATATATTATTTATATAATAATATATTATATATATTTATTTCTAAGTTTAAATCATAACACCTCATGTGGCAATGTGGTTAGTGTCGTCTTTTGTATATATTTAATCCAGGTTCGAATCTCACATTTTACATCTATTTTTCTTAATTTTAGTTTAACGAGTCAATTTTGAGCCGAACACGAGTACGAATATTTAAATCGAGCCGAACACGAACACACTGTTCACGAGCCGATTTCGAACACGAGCTATTTCGAACGAGCTGAACATGTTTACAGCCCTAATTGGAAAGCATATTTTATTACTTCCAAGATCATTTTAATTATTTTCTGAAGGTTTAGCTGGATTTGTGAAATTTTATGTCATGCCCATAGAATTTTTTAAGAATTGCTAATAACTTTTACAGTTGGTAGCATATTTGTGAGGGCCTTTTAAAAGTGGGTTTCACTGCCAATCTTACTTTTAATCTTAAGCATTATAATATAATGAAGTTGTGTGATTTAGCTCAAGGCAATATTGTTGAATGGTTATATGAATTTCTTTCATTGAAAATGATTAAGATGCAATGATGAAGCCATCATAGGATCCAATCTACCTAGTTACAAGTGTAACTTGTAGAGTTTCAATCCATAATCAATTTAGGCAAATATATTGTTTCCTTGATTTAATGAGTTGAAGCTCAAAACTTGCCGTCTGTAACGCCCAAATTTCAAGACAAATAAAATTCAACATATTTGAAAAGTATCTTAAATGTTGTGCACCTTAGAATTGATTCGAAATAATTTTATAAAATTATAAGCCTTGAATCAATCAATTTTATATAAAATATTGTATGTAAATTATAAACAGATTCAAAAATATAAAATTTGAAAATATTTCAGTTGTATTAACTTAATTAATCCTATATTATTCTAATTCATCCCTTAATCTCTCGTACCTGCATTGTTCCCCGCAGCCACATGACGTTTATTCCCTTTGTTTGATGGAATAGGGAGGCGAGCGTCAAAGTCCTTCCCCTCACCCCATTTTCTCCTCCCTTTCCCTTACTGTAGGATCGACAAGTGAATTCCGCGAGCCTCTGCGATTGATTATTGTAGCGCAGAGCAACTCACAATCCTTGCAAATGGCAGGGAGGCGAGCAGCCACATGGGAGCTAAAAAGCACGATATAAGATTCCAGTGCAATTTCTGTAAGCACGAATCTCTCTTTCATGTCATTTGAGACTTTTATTTTGTTCTTCACCCTTTTGTTTTGAAATTTGTCCGTTTTTCATGCTTCTCATTTTTGGAGCCGTCGGAGGCGCTGATTTTGTGCAAGAAGTGTCTTAATTGATTTTCGCGAGCTTTTAAAAATATTTTTGCAAGAAATCAGTGAGCAGAAAGATCTAAGGTGATTGGAATGAGAGAAAAGTGAAAATTTATGGTTTCAAGAAGACAAATTTATGTTGGAAAGCCTTTTGAGATATATTTTGGTAAGTAAAATATATATTTTTGGGTTAATGCATGTTATTAGCCAAATTTTATGAAATGTTATGTTTTCTACGAGCCCTAGGTTATCTATATGATGCGGCGAGCTCGAGACGAGCGTGTGGGCACTCGTCGTAGAGCTACCTCATCAAGTCAAGTGAAATAATCTTGTGTTAATTTAAGAAATTTTTTTTAATTATTATTAGATTTTTTAGTTGATACAGATACATGTAGTATTTTCTGCATATTGTAAATGTATAAATACAATTGAAAGTATGAATGCATATTTACTTTTCTCATGATACATGCAATGTTATGATCAAACAATGCTACATATGACTATGCTTGTTATATGAATTTACTGCAGAAGTTCATTTGTTATTCTTCATGTCTATGTTATATATAATGCCTTCTAAATGCTTGATACACGATTGATTATTCAAATTTCATAATAAATGTGTGGGTAGACTATTACATGGGTTCTTGCAAGTACACTATATAAGGATGTAGTATTCCTAACTCTTGATATTTGTACATGGATGAAACTCTGGGAACTATTAGGATTAGATGGTGATATAACGTTAATGAACTATGGCTATCATGGTGGTTATTAATAACTGTTATGTTGGGGGAAGCCCAATATTTATTGATAGTTTATATAGTCTTTGGGACAGGGTGACGACTCGTGATGAAATGACGAGGAAATAGTTGAGCCATATACATTAAACAAGAGACATTGCTATGAAATAGATCTATGAAATAACATTGTTATGATTACATACGATCAACAATATATGAACATGCTTTTGATTATACTTATGATTGCATGGTTACAAGCTACATGTTATATTTTTAGTCTTAATTTTTATGCTTCTTACTCTATTTTCATGTTTTCAATCATGCTAGTATGTTATTACATGTGTGTGTGTGGACATGTACAAATTTCTACAAGCATGCACATTGGTTCTTTTTCATGTATAATATCTTATGTTAGGCTTGATTGTTTCTTTGAGCTCGTTGTTGTTCATTTTTCATTGTTATCTTCTAGGTAGGGTCAACGAGCACCGAGGCAAGTAGCCATGTGTGCCTTTGTATAGCTTTTACACAATAGTTTTGGAAGCTTGTATATATATTTTGGATACATAGTTTTATTATATTGGATTTAGAAGCTCTGTATAGTTTTCATTTTTTAGATGATATAATTTTTATGCTTCCAAGTATGTATATGAATGAGTTATGTAATGCAGTGTATCACATATATTGCGACAATCAAGTTACATTAATTCATCACCCATCGGGTCTTGATTATACTAGTCTGGACGAGTGTTGGTGCGAGTTGGTATGACCAAATTACCAGCCTCTGTCACATCTCAGGAGACTCTTAAAGGGAGGCTAATTGAGGTGTGATAGAAAGTGGTATCAAAGCGTGATTATTGGATAAAGAGAATGATGGAAGCGTGTTGGATTTTGAAAAAGTAAGAATGAGATCAAATATGAATTGATTTATACAGGGTTTTAATTGATGAATTTGGGATGAGCAACCCTTATGACTTAAGGTGTCACATGTGCATAATAAAATCATTATAGGATAAATTACATGTGAATAATAAATTTTGCCAATACAAATGAACATGTCTGGAGATGAATCAGAAAGTACCGAGGGCCAATCTTATAGGCCAAGAGCTGAGCAAGAAATAAGATCTAAAAATGTTTTAGACAAAAAAAGATAATTGAAATGATAATTAGAATAAAATAAATGAAGACACTAGAGCTAATGAACTACAAGGCATCGTTCAATTGATATTACAAGTAGTTGATAAAATGACTGCTATCGAAAGATCTTCCACTAGTATAGGGTCCAGATCTAAAATTAGGGCAGAAGTGGATCGACACTTGAAGATATTTCGGTCTTTCAAGTCATATGCATTTAAAGGTGTTTGTCACCCGACAGTTGCTGTTGATTGGCTTTTGAAGATCAAAACAATTCTCATTGTTATGATTTGTCTATAAAATAGAAAAGTGGTATT